AACCCAGGCAGTATTTGGTTTAAAAAAGGAGGAGGGCAGAGCGCCGGGGAGGCGAAAGGAAGAACGGTGTCTTTCCGCACGGGCACTAATCCGGCCAGCAGGCAACAGCAGAGCCCCCTTTCCCCCAACAGGCGGAGGCTGCTGATGAATTTAATGCTCTCTGAAGACCGTCTCACTTGAAATCAAACTCACTTATGACCTTTTCTCTGAGCAGCAGGACAACAAAATCCATAATGCAAAGGCAGTCAAACAGAAGACAATGACGTGATTTTTTTTTAAATGAATGTTTTATTCATGAACTATTTATAAAAATGTGTAAAATACACTCAAATATATTTGATTTGTTGACTGTGGCTAAAAATATAAAAATATACTTAACAAATGCATAAATTAAATTGACAATAGTGGCACGATTCTGTGTTCACCCAGTGTTTGTTAGGAACACAAATCTAAGTAATTATATAGCGTATGAAAATGGAATATGTGCTGAAGATGTTTTTCAGGCACTTTACTCCAGGCACTGGTAAAGAATTTATGGCTAGCCACATTTCAAAATTGTGGGTTTTTTTCACTATAACATACCGCCCTGCTGTAGAACAATATATATATTTAGCTACTTGACATTACTTACAGTATTTCTTTAGCTTTCAAATAAACGAAGAAAGAACCGAATCACCATGCACGTCAATCTACCAGCATCATTGGCACTGTATGTGCCCAAATTCCATAGCACTCGCTAAATTTAGCTAGTCCCTAGTCTCCAGTATTTCTTGCCGGTCTTAAAAACCAAATCCCAGTCTGAACTAGCCGTTGATCTGCGAGGTCACTGATAACAGACCAGTTTGCTTTGGCCATAGTGGTGCTACCAACAGGTCTGGAGTTTGACTTCATCAGCCTGAGAGGGGCAGTCAAGGGCACGGGGTCCACAGCGAGCTGCCTAAGTATGGGGGTGCCCAGGCATCTTCTATTCAAAGTTGCAGCCTCCTGGGACTACAGGTCCCAGAGCTCACAGCTCCAGAGCCCGAACATTTGTGACAGGGCCATCAGGGGAGCGGTTGTCATTTGATGTTGCATTATATTCACCCAAACGGCGTGTCGGAAGTACTGAAGGAAATTGGAATCAATGCAAGGACCGGCCATGCCACCCTTTGGTAGGGAAGCTGTGGCTGCGGTAGGCTGTATCTCCAAATGTCGGATGAGTTTCTCCGATCCGTGGCCCTGGGAGGAGATGCTCATACAGCGATTAGATGGTTATTGTTCTCATCCCTCTAGCCCATATATTAACTCCCAGGCTGCAAAGCGCGGCTAAGTGCTCCTGTACTCCTATCTGTCTAGTATTTAACTTTTTGCTTTCAAAGTCAAAGCGTAAATAACCGTATATAATACATAATATAAACTTAAAGCTCACACATTTTCTTTTCTCTGTTCTACAACTGAAAGGAAATTCATAGTATGACATGGCATAAAATAATATTTCTGGCAATTTTAGGCACGTATATAAGCTGTATAAATAACTATAGCAGCAGAGAAAAATGTATAAAGTTGCACTTTTATGACATCTTCACAGTATGCCTATTTCTCTCACCCACTTTTATGTTCCATTAGTAACAAAAAATATCATTTATCAACTCCAGCTATGCAAGATTTTTTTTTTTTTTTTTCCTACAATCGGTAGTGGATCTCATAATTGTATTGCACAGATTAAAAAAACATTTATTACCATTTTTTCATTATTAAATAAACTTCAATACAAAAATTTGAATTACCCTAAAAGCCCAGCCCTGCAAGTGCTTCAGAAGTGGACGATATTCTTCAGGCAAGCATTCCAGTTGACTTTCAATGAAAGTACTCAGGTAGCTTTGTGGACAATGCAGAGATTCACAGGACTGGGCTCCAAGTGTGCAAATCAGCTTATGGATCAGCGACAACGCTAGCCTTGCTTTGTAACAACATTATTATTGGGAAACATCAGGAAGGGAATTCCGAACATCGTTCATGGACATTCAAAAGAGAAACATCCTCTTCAGCAGAGGATGTCTTCTTCCTTAAGAGCTCCTTCGAGTTCATTCTTGTTACGTTAACAATTTCCCATCGGTCCTGTTATTCAGCTTAGAGGCACAGTAAATATAATTAATTACACTGATAAGTAGGTGTCTTATATTAACAAAATGCTACATAGATACTTTTTACTTATTCTCAGTGGATTTACACTGGTTTCATATGACCAGAATTGGCTAGAAAGCAGAACCAGAGCAATAATGTGTGTGTACAGTCTCACACGTGACCTGGCCAGGCAGAGATGTAAAGCTGCTCAAGAGCATTGTGCCAGAGTGTTTAAGGTCATCTGTCATGTTATTAAGTGATGAGGAGGAAGAGGCTTATGAACTCTGTCCATTATTAGCTGAGAAAAAAGATGAAAATAGCTGTCTGCTACAACATCATCATTTTGGGTGCAGATTTGTGAACTCTGTAGGTGTGGAGGAGGGAGCTGAGAAACAACGTTAAAAGAAAGAGCAGAACAATATGTGTCTTTCTGAAAATGATGAACAACGTGCATACATAGTATACAATCAGACTTCTGCCCTCAGATCATATATTATTGAGTGAGTTCCATTTCCCTCGGCATAAAAAATGACACAGTAATATATAGCGTGAGATAATTTATAGGGTACATTTGGTACGTCTTCACAGTGTAATTGTACTGCTGGTAACTATCATGGTGATCTTCGTTCCTCAGCTACCGCTGCAAAAAGAAAGGACTAAATGCAGCGCACGTAACACAATGCCAATTTTCATGATGCCCTAAGTTCAGTGGTTATTAGCAAGGTCAATGATCGATCTAAAGCTGCCATGCTTGTTTGTCCTTGCTTGCTAACCTACTATCTATCTAGCAAAGGACGCAGAGAAAAAAGGGGCCTGGGGAAAATCTGCACATTTCTTTGTGGTTTGGCTCAGATTTCCCTCTGTGAAAATGGCTTCCACGATAATGCTAGTTCCCTTCTTCTTCAGATCCCACTAAGGGTGGTGAATCTTGAGGTTTGTCTGAGGCCAAAGAGGATGTACAAGAGGAATGAGCAGTATTTTCACGCAGAGACACCTAGAAGGTTAACCAAGCTTACATGTTCTGAGCAGCTGTGAGAACTGATATGAAGGGTGGCTTCTGAGGCATGCGAGGATATTGGGTCAAGAAAAGATGAGACTCCAGATGGAGCAGGAAGGAAGAGGGACTATCAGTCTGTTTCCTTCTCTGTAGGAAAACCAGTGTGACAGGGATGTGCATAGTCCTGCTGATTCTGCTTTGGAATAATTTAAGAAAACTATGTCTGAGCTGCCTTGCAGGGTTCTTCAGCCATCGTCAGGCAGGTGTTCCTACCGCAAGGAGAGTGTGGCTCCAATAAGTCATGGTGAAATCACAGTAGTCTTGATCCAGGGCCACAGCAGTTCCTCACTTAGGCACTTAGGTGTATTGGCTGGTTCTCTGGAGGCCTTCAGAAATATTTATTTCTCTCCAAAATAAAAGTGGAATTTAGGCACTTGTCTTCAGCAGCAGGCTAAGTTTTCTCTAGGTGAAGTATGGGTAGATATCTAGAAGGAGAACTACCAAGTCCTTCCTTATTTTTGTGATTGGGAAGAACTGTGTACTGCCTCTTCTCTATTTGTCCGAAGAGTGTTTTATAAAGACAAAGAATAGCTGAACAGAGTGGTCAAACCAGTCCCTTGAACGAGAAACCTCTTTGCAGAGGAGAGAGGATGTGCCTAATCTGCTTGGCTGGGCAGGATACCTGGTGAGTGCTTTTCGATTGTACTTCTTCCTAATCACTAAATGCTTTCAGTCATCCGATGATTAGCACAGCCCTGCCAGCCTACATCCCCTGGTTTACTGATGAGCCTTTTTCTGTTCCAGCTGTCCCTGTGGTGGTGACATCAGGCAATGTGTAAGTGGAGGAGTTTTTCTGTGCAGACATGCTGGGGCCATGCTTTCCCTTTGTGAAAGCAAGTGGCATTCGAAGGAGACCAACGCTTAGGCCAAGGCAGCTATGCTGCAAGCAGCTTAAGGCCGAAGCCAGTTGTGTAAACTGTGAGATACATACCTTTATAATTTCAACATGTTTATCATCTCTCTATTTTTTTAGCTGTCACCGTACAGCATTGTTTTTAATGAGCTATGCAAGTTGCCAGACTTCACACCCTCACAGGTCTGTTGACATGAACGTCTGAGGCGTTTCCTTGAACACCTTTCTTATTATTATTGTACGCAAGTGAAAATGCACAGACACAGGCTGTGGTCTGATTCTGCTCTCTTAAACCAGTGTAAAGAAATCAGAATGTGACCTGTCTCCCCTCTAAGCATGTGGTGGGGGGAAAAGGTCTGCTAGACTTCACGGCAGCATGTGTTGTTTGATATTTTTCTACTACGTCACATTAGACTGAAACATTTGCTTCTAGTGAGGTGGACCCTGTTTTGCTTGGCTGTTAATGAGTTCTGTAAAAGGTATGTCATTGTGTTATGGGTTATACCCATTTTTGTCAGATCACAAGCAGTAAGTTTGAAGTGTAGAGTAGCATTGTAATTCCTATACAGGACTACTGTTCCCTTGCTTAATAGTAGCTTATTTCATCTCACAAACACTGAACTAGTTAAAAAAAATGAGGTTCTCCTTATAGGATTTTTCCTGTGTGTTACGTGCCAATACATAACCTGCCCTAAACGCAGCAGTCCTGTTAGCCATACAATTTAAAATAGTTTATGTAGAACAGTTCATAAAAACTGTGATAAGAAAAAATAGTATTATCTGAAGCTTAATATTAATATAAACAATATAGAAAAAATACATATTTACATAATGCCAAAATACAATTATATACATTAATATCTATTACACTTAAATTATATATCTTTAAAAAAAACTCACCAGACCAATAAATTATACACAGTCTCAATAGAAAAGTCTGGCACCTTTCTAGTGCATGAAATACATACATAAAAAAAACCAAACAAAACTCCTAGTTAACAAATGTGGTCACAAAAGCAGTTGTCTGTTACATTCTTAGTGCCTTGAATAAACAGCATCTGAAAGCAAGGAAAACTGAGATTAGAAAAGATAACCCAGGTGGCTTCACGTTCAGCTCTGCCAGCTGACTACAGTGCTCCGAAAGGCGGTCGTGTGGCAGCAGCACTGGCTGGCGACTGACGTGACAGATACAGAGCAGATCCCACCTCTGCTTTTGCTAGCACTCCCCACTTGTGGAACCCCGGTTATTTCAGTCCTTAGCCCTCTCCAATCCTGCTCTACCTGCCGATGACAACTCTGATTTCTATGGGCTAGATCAAGAAAATTATTCTGATTCCTCATCATATAATCTCAATTCCCAATGTCCAAATTTGAGGAGCTACCGAGATCCTGCTGTCTCACTCTAAAAACTTCTACAGCCCTTAGGAATCAGCTCTACCAGGACACACAGGCCACCTCTGGTTACAGCTTCTCCAGACTGGTCCTCTGGCCATGAGAACAGGAGGTGAAGGGCAGTGCTAGTGCCAGGTTTGCTACTCCTGTAATTCTTATCCCCACTGGATAAGGCTAGGGAAAAGAGCCTATAAGGATGGAGAGTTAGGGGAGGAGGGAAGAGCACAGCCTTGGACACCTACATTATCCAGTCAAGGCAGATGGGAACTCTCTTAAGGCCGCCTATACAGTCAACAGAAAATGAGGGTGATTCAGGACAGAAACTGAACACCATCAAAGACAGAAGAGCCCAGCGAGCCCAGCCACTAGCCTCAGTGTGCTTAAAAGTGGATGATGTAAACACTGGTGAGGTAAAGGAGGAAGCCGATATGATGATAGGGAAGAGTTTCAGTTCCCCCAGCAGCACAGGAATCATGAAGTGTGAGACAGGGAGAGAATGAAGGTAAGGTAGGAGCAAGGAGAGACATTACAATGACTACTAATGGAGAAAATAACGATGCAATTGCAAGAGTGACAAGAGCAGAGCAGTGAAGAAATGAAGGTCCAGGAAGAGAATGAATATCGATGGCAAGGGATAGCACAATGTGCCCCCTCAATTACGTTGTCAATGAGCTATTACATTTGAAACACTTTACAATTTGATAAACTTGCACACACCTCTGTGATACTCTGGATTCACATTTTCATATATCGGAAACAAGGGATTTTCTTGTTCACTGCGAAGTTTTCTGGCTCTTAACACATCTCTCACACACTGATGTAGATACACATATTGACACTGCAAAAGAATTTGTTGTTAAGTCACTCCGGAAAATTTTGTAATTTAATTTTCTGTATTGTGAAAAAAACATTACAGGCTAACTCCCTCATACAAAATCAAGGGTGGTGTTAAAAATTAAAATATACTTCTAAAATTAATCTCCTTTTCACACTAGTAATATAATAAACTCTTGTGATCACCTGTTTTTAGAAATGCTACCAGTAAAACATAAATGAACATTATATGTTTTGACGGATCATGTCATGAGTGAAAGCTCTATCAACTGTAAGGCATAATTGGACATGATGCTGTGTTGGATAGCTACTACTTCTGAACGCTTCGGTATAAAGCACGTGTAACAATTAATATGTACAGGGAAGGACACAGAAGAGACAAACAATTTCTTTATTTTTTGTTCTGAAAAGAAATATATTCCACAGAATTTTATCACAATATATTTCTTTGATGAACCCAAATTTTCTGCCAAAAGCAGTATTTTTTTCATCCAATATAAGTTATAAGATTGCTTCTGACTATGCGGCGAATGACAGACTGTCTTTTCTGAAGAGTGCCTTTCATAGAAGGGAGGTAAGATGACATTCAGAACCAAAGTAGGGAGGATCAGCTTGTTATTGACTATTTATCAAACTACCTTGATAGAATAGATTGTTAAATCCCCATGCTTTACTACTCTTTGTGGTTTATGACATGGGTCATTATCATTTTTTGATTAGTGTAGCATGGTACCCCAAAATCAGGCTGAGCATCTTTATATATCAAGGTGTACCTTTTTAATATTACTTTATCTCAAAGACATAATTTCTCCAATAAGCACATGCATTTTCTCCCCCCAAATCTTCTACTTGTTTTTCATAGAATCATAGAATACCAGTTGGAAGGGACCTCGAGGATCATCTGGTCCAACCTTTCTAGCACAATCTAGATGAGATGGCCCAGCACCCTGTCCAGCTGAGGCTTAAATGTGTTCAGTGTAGCGGAGTCAACCACTTCCCTGGAGAGATTATTCCAATGATTGACTGTTCTCATTGTGAAAAATTTACCTCTCGTGTCCAATCGGAATCTCCCTGGGAGTAACTTGTACCCATTACCCCCTGTTCTCACCATGTGACTCCTTGTAAAAAGGGAGTCTCCATCTTCTTTGTAGCTCCCCTTTAAGTACTGGTACATGGTGATGAGATCACCTCTAAGCCTCCTTTTCTCAAGGCTGAACAAGCCCAGCTCTCAGCCTATCCTCATACGGCAGGCTTCCCAGACCCTTGATCATCCTGGTGGCCCTTCTCTGGACCCCCTCCAGCCTGTCCACATCTTTTTTGTATAACAGGGACCAGAACTGTACACAGTATTCCAGGCGTAGACAGTATTCCAGGTTTTTCACACGAGCTATTGCCCTGTGCATTTTTCTCAGTGCTCTGGCTCTGGGAAAGTGAGGATACCTGCTGTTATGCACATATGGCTGCTGTCTCTGTGGAGCAGAATCCTGCACCCCACCCACCGATTTGGTGGAAAGCTGGCCAGGGCATGGAGACTTCCTTTGGCAGAGACCATTTGGGACTGCAATGGCGGACAGCTTCTCTGCCCATGTTACAGCTGCTGTGCTGAGCCCACTGCCTTTTGAGCTGAGGGACACAGTTTTCTGTTACTCCCCTGCATGTCTCCAGCTGCGGTCTCTTGTCTTAAACAGCTTTCAGCCAAGTCTGAAGCCAGGGCAGTGTTTTGTTGCTACTGTTTTACTGTGACTACATAATGTCAAGCAGGATGGTGCAGTGACCTTTGGCTTGAGCATCTCATTGCAAACAGTCCTGTCTGCTGGCCTGTGCTCCCCAGTGGGATTTGGCTTCCACCACATCAACAGATGGGGATCTAGCTATTATCTCAACCACCAAACAGGTTGTGGAAGCCAAGACATGAATGATAACACCAGGAACTAGTGTCTTCACACGCATCAAACGGAGTTTGTGGAGCAGATCTTTTCTTCCCCCTCTCCCCAATTCCTTTACTTTTTCTTAAAAGATGTGTAAGAATTACTTCATAACTCACTGCTCATTGCAAACTTTGCATCATCATAAAACTCCAGGATAAATTTACTTCATTTTCTTGCAGGAGGATGAGAGATTGTATTGCTTGTGCTCCAAGCTATCTTGATGAAAGGCAGTTCCAAATCAGAAACCATATACAGATGCAATTGACAGTTGAGATTAATAAGACTTGCTGAGAATACAGCAGCTCAGTGGCTGTGCACTGACACAGCTACATGGTCAGTCTACAAGCACGTTACAGCTCAAGTGGGGTGAGTATACGTCAGCTGCAGAAGCTTTCTGTCACCCTGTCTCTTGGATGCTGCCTGTGAATTCTTCCAGGGGCAGGACTGGTTACAACAGGGATCTGGGTAAGACTTGAGCCACTGCTGGTTTAGGGCAGAACTACATGTAGCGCTAGTAGTGGCATAGTGGGGTGCTTCTTACTATTGCTGTAGATATTTTGCTTGGGTCTGGCTGCCTTTTGACTTAGATGTCATGTCAAGCTCGTGCCAAAGGTGGGCTTTGTATCACACAACTTTAGTCATGTATAAGCCTGGTGTCAAATTTAGGCTCTTGAAGTCATTGCCTCTTTTTTCCAGCTAGGGAAAAAGAGCCGCCCTTCTGAGCCGCCTGTCTGCCTTCGCTGACTACGGCTGATGGGGATGTAGAAGGTGAGATGGATCTGTCTCTGAGGATGCCCAGACTGAGCTGAGAATCTGTCTCCCCTCCAAGAGGAGGTCTTCTGTGATTAAGATAGTTCCAGGAAATCTCTCTTTTGCATTCCCAGTTGAGTCTGTCTTTATACCCATGTGTGACTTCTACATCTATCAGGAAGCGCCGTCACTGATATTTTCGTTTCCAAATTGCCACAGAGCTCCATTAGTATCAAGCTACAGGCAGACCCATCAAACTTGTTCTGATTCCTCTATTAACAGTTCACAGAGAAAATGTAAAGACTGCCTCCACAACTCGCCTTTATTAAATCAGCTCCTAAGTGTTTAGCTGCTATTAGTGTAAAGTGATTTTCTTGCAGTTTTAAAAGCACAGAAAGAAATCCCAAACACGTACTTTTTCTGCACTTCGAGAGTAAATGTACTTGCTTTTGCATAGTATGTTAGGAGAATGCTGATCAACTTTCCAATACCATTAATGAAAATGACAGAGCAGCTCAATAAAAAATGAACTGCAAAGCCACAAGGTCACAGTGCTTAGAGTTTTAAAATTATGTACATCTAATTTTCTCTGTCGTCCATTCCTTTTCCCTATTATGTCGACCTATCTGTCTGGTTTAGGCTTGTCTTCCAAACCCATCCCTGAAGGACCTATCTCTGCTCAAAGCTCATTTACTGGACACTGCACTAACACAACAATGTGCTGTTAAGTGTCTGCTGCATAACACTGCTGGCGTGATTGTGGGCCAGTGCCAATAGGAGAAATCTATAGAAAGCATAGCTACCACTTGTTATGGTTTGGACCCGTTGTATGAGAGCCAATGGAAACAATCCTGAACTAGAAATTCTCACAGAGCTAAAATATATCTAACTGGTATTTCACAGTGGAGTAACTGTGAAGTGCCTTGAGAGCCTTTAAGATGAGAGACTGATTATTATATACTGCAGCTGGTGTTGCTGTATTGTAGGCTATCCAGAACTTACCTCTGTCTGAACCATGTGAACCCGGTGAAGCCTTAGGTCATGTACTGCTGCATAGATGTCGACAGTGTCCTTTGAATCCAGCTGCTGCAGAATTCGGTCCAGTGCAATGAATGTGCCAGTCCTGCCAACACCAGCACTGGAAAAGAGAGCAACCCAAAAGATTTAAAAGGACATGGATCAGAGCATTCAATGTCTTCATGTGACGCTTTTGTAAAGTTCAGATCTCCAGGATGAGAAGCTCATTGTTCAAATGGCATCTCTGGGACTTCAAATACTTTATAGTGGAATTTATTTACAAAGGAGGAAAGGATAGCAATGGTAGAGGTATCTCTGCTACTGCCTGTACTGCTTTCTGCCTTGGATTAACTCAGTCATCGAGATACACTGAGAGACTGCACCTGACTGTAACTTTTAAACCTCTTCTCTCCAGGGATGACGAAGTAGGCTTGATTCTAAAAGATAAGCTGGCTTGTGCCTTATGGAAGGGCAGAGTAAGGCAAAGTGTCCCAGAGTCCCCAGTAGCTGAAATGCTGGGAGGTGGGGGTTAGAGACAGGAGGCAGGGAAGAGGAAAGTTGACCTGACGGTGATACAGTAGACATGTGACATGTTGCAGCACATGATGAACAGGCAGACACAGGTGGGGTCATGTAAGATACATGCCTCAGCCCATAAAATGGGTGGAGGGAACAGGTACTACGTTCAAGTAGTACCACTGAGCCTATGGCTTTTTCAGAAGATATACACAGCACCACACTGTACTTTTTCTCTCACTCTGTAACCCTATATTCTGCCGCAGCTGACCAGTGGATCATGGATCAGGCAGTCCAGTTTTGCCTTTTTTGTATACGTGTGTAGGGATGCAGAGTTAAAACTGCAGCCCTATGGCTGCCAGAGATGGCACAACAGCAGAAGAGCATGAGAAGGCAGTAAGGACATGGGAGTCTCAGTCAGAATGGGGGAAAGGATGGATCTGCCAGCTACTCTCAACATCCATATGTAGCCAGATTCACCCCTGGGTATATCTTACCTTTTCAGAACACTCCTTTTGATGCAGATGTTGGGTCGCAACAGCAGCACACAGGCAATTTAAGAATGCAAAAGCTTATGAGCATTGGCAGCTGCTGACACCTTTAGTGCTCTCCAGTGGTCCCACAGAGACACACTGGTTCCCTGAGAGTCATTTTTGGGGCATCTCCAGAGTGAGGTTGTGAGTGAGTGCACATGCCTTGGGAATGCTGCTCTGATGTATCTGGAGACTTAAGCCCATCAGCTCTCTCTCAGGTTCTGTGACAGCCCATGGCCTAACAGGGATCAATATTTGGGATCTTCCCAAGGGTACACACAAAGGCTCTGTGCTGCTGACCTTTTGCTGCTGCACATACCTGCAGTGCACGATAGCTGGTCCTGTGTCTGGGGTCCTGTTGATATAATCCCTTACAGTTCTGACAAACTGTATCAGGGACTGGGTGGTCTCTGGCACACCATGATCCGGCCAGACAGTGTAGTGGAAGTGACGAATGAGCCTCGTTGAGTCAAGCTGCTCTTCCTGTTGGGATACAAAAGTACGGGTCATCCAAACAGACAAGAGAGGAGGGGACACACATAACATGCACCTTCAGAGCAAATGCTACAGCTGCCACCAGAGATGAGCTGGGCATGATGCAACTGTACTACAGCAGAAGAAACCTTCCTAATTAAGCCTTGCAGGTGTTTTTAAGGCAATTAATTAAAAAAAAAAAAAGATGAACACAAACATACACTGCAGATTTTAAACTCTCGTATTGTCCATTCTGGGAGCACTGATTCAGACAGCATCTCAACAATCAGGTCTCCATAGTACAAGGAATCCCGGTCAAGAGGCCAGTAGTGATCACACTTCACCTGCAGGGACATAGAAAAAGATAGATTTAGTGTCAGTAACAGCTGTAAACAACACCTCCATCCAGCACTGGCAGAGTAGACTTCAGACCTCCTGTGCCTGAGGATGAAGGAAGAACGGCAGCAGCTGCATTCAGAGAGGGATGCCACCCCCTGACATGTCAGCTCAACAAACAGGGCCTGGAATGGGAATGGGCTAGGATGGGGCTGGGAAGTGGAAGTTCTCATCATAGATGTTTGTGAAGGGAGGAATGGGAAGCACTTCACTGATGTCCTCTTCTGGATGCCACAACATTTTCTGTGCCAACTCTCCTCAGAGCTCTGCTTGGATGGCAGCTAGGCCTCCAGTGCCCGCTTCCCCACCTCTTGCTGAGACATGACAGTGGGGTCCCACTCAGAGCCAGTGAGGTGCAGGAGAAGACAGGTGGCTGCCTGTACTGCATCTCCTTTCACACCATCTCCTCAAGAAAACATGGCAAACTGAAAGGAAATATCCCCATATGTGCCACCAGATGATCACTACTTCAAGTTGGTTTAAACTTTTTACAGATCTAGTCCCTGTCTTACAAAGGGTGCAGGATGTGGTCATACTTGGGGAGGAGGATTGCTGAGACAGCTAAATAACCTCCCTACACTTGCACTCAGTAAGACCGTCAAGTGCGCGAGTGGTCTCTTTGCTTAATACATCAGGGCTTATGCATCAGAGAGAATTCCATGTATTTAATGATCAACATTTGCTCTCTAGAGCTTACATTTAAAGTAGCAGTTGATTGGAGTTGATGTGATAAACAGGCATTTTTTGCTGGTGGTTGTCCTTCTGCATGCTTAAGGGGATTATATTAGTACTAGTGAGCAAAGTGCTGGATTAGAGACCAGAAGCACTGAGCTCTGTTCCTAACTCTAGCCTTGACATGCTGCATGATCTTGGGATGGTCGCTGCATCCTCACTTCACAGCCTTAATCTGTTTCCAGTCTTTAAATCATACCTCTTATCTCTTATTGTATATCTCCTTGACTGGGGCCTTTGGTATTAGTGTGGTGCAAACAATATGCATAAACTTTTAATAGATGTTAAAACAGTCATTAATAATAAAGAAGAGTCACTGCTCACCCGGCCCTTCTCAACACACTGGGTTACCATGACAATATTGTGAACATTTTGTTCCCACGCCATCTTCCAGAACTCATCTTTGGTACCAGGCAAAGGGCCCTGAGTCGCTATGTATTCCCTGCGGAAATTATTGCCCTGCAAGTAAAGAGAACTCCATTAGTTTCCATAAAGGCAGAAAAAAAAGATCTTCTAGCAACTGTACAAGCCATAAGGTTGCAGCCAGGGCTCTGCAGTAACAATGCCCTTGCTGGGACAATAGTTTTGAGAGCTAAATTGTTACTTTGGACCTGGAAGCAGAAGGCTGGCTGGAGCAGAGAGAAGGAAGAGACTGCGGCAGTGTATCTGCTGTTCCTTTTGTGGCAGTCAAAGCTTTTCATTGTTCTATTGTGTTCAGCACAGTCTCAAGCAATTTTGGAACTACTAGGGATTTTTGTTTTATTTACTGTTTTTAATAAATTAGCTGAGTTCTGGCTTGAAATCTGGATTGCTAAAGCCACTGCTATTATCAATCACAACTCTCTGGCAAAGGGCATTGTTGTAATCTCAGCCAGTTTCACCATCCTGCAAGGTGTCAACACTGTCAGGATGAGCTGCAGCTCCACAATGAGGATGCCACCTGCAGTGATAGCTACAGTTGTTGTGGACACTGTATAAAATCAGTGACCTTTAAAAATGTGTCCTTGGCCAATCAGACTTGCTATCTTACATAACTATAGCAATCCAAGGAAGTGTCCTTAAGTGCTGGCTAAATCACTCACAGTTAACTTAATGGCAGTCAGACACAGCCTTTCAGCACACCCACAAAATGAGTTCTCAGACTTTTAGCTGAAGTGAATAAATGAAGGGGGAGGGAAGCCTTAAGCATCCAGCTTTATATTCAGTTTTAGATGAAGGACAAATTACTACTGGAGGGAGGACTGTAAAATACCATCCTTGAGTCACTTACTGGTATGTAGCTTGCATTAATGTAGTCTGAGCAAGGGTCATCATCCACATTGGAAAGCTTCACTCTTGATGTATCATCTAGGAAGAAATTGATTACAAGAGACTTACGGCTAGGTCTTGATTTTCAGTCCCTCTCCCATTTACAGAAATGCATTTGTGAAAGGACTGGCAGCATTATTACAAGGATTTTATATGGAAGGCTAATTTAGAGGAATAACTGTTTATATTTGTACTGTCTCTTTCATCCATGAGTGCTGTGGAGTGTTCCAAAGACTAGGAGATGGATGGGTGAGAAGGAAGCAGTGAATATCCAAAAATTTCTCTGGTGAGTTGCATAGGATTTGTTATGGCAACAGAAGAGCCACAACAGCATCCTCCTTTGATCCTGACAGCAGCGTGCTGTACTGGAGAGCAGTGCCCAGTGCTGCCATTGAAAGAGTGGTAGCGCTTCAGTGGTCTGCACAGCTCCCAAGCTAACGTGTGCGAGCAGGCCAACTCTCTTCCCTGGGACCGGTGGCATCTCCAGTACTACAGAGAGGTACAGAGTGCCTAAGCCACCAGGTCACTGGTTTGTGAGATAACACCATGTTGGATCTCAGTCAGGCATTGTTTCTTGTACATTGCGGGCATGCTCCCCAGCCCAGCACGGCAGGCAGAACACAGGAGATGCTGTGAGGCTGTGCTCCAAGCACATACCACATCCAGCAGCAGGGCAGCACGTGGAGCAGTGAGTCATGTGGTGTTCCTCCTTGATGCACAGCACGTGTTACCTCCAAAACAGGCAGATAGGAGACTGAAGGGGGAAATTCTCAATGACAGGTCTCGCCTCAGAACAGGGCTAGCCTCACACGTGTGCCTTACCATGCAGAACCACGCTAGCTCTACACTGTATAGTGGTTTGCTGTGTCCTCTGAAGAAGAAAGATGTGGCAAGGTTGTCAAAACGCACTGAATGGATGACACCCTATCTGTAAACAACCCTACTGTTATTTCTACTATCCTTGTTATCAGCAGTGACTGAATGCCCATAATAGCTGGAGCTTTTTCTCTCCAGACTGAATGCTAGTCATTACATCTCTAGTGTGAAACGAAATTACTGGTCTGTGTGAAACCGTTTAGGGCCATACATCATCTGCCTCCAAGCACCAGAACCTGAGCTGGCAGAGGTATTTCATCTCTGACAGGAAGGAGGGAAGGGATTGGCTGCACTCTCTTTTCTACTAGTCTTGGTGAAAAAAGTGAAAAATAGCTGTCGTGATGTAATATTATACAACCAAACCTAAAACTCACAGGGCAATATATTATTGTATCGATTTTTCCCTCTGTTCTCTGGCAGAAGTGCTATGTCACATGTCTGGTTTCGACCCACATCTTTTAAGTCCTGCAAAAGAAAGTAGGAATAAAATGTGAGGTGAAAATAATTAAAGGATGTGACAACACAGGGGGACACAGTGCTTATCAGCTCTCAAAGGCCATGGACAGAGAATGGGTCGTTTTTCAAAAGAACAAACTGAAATTAAATAGCTAATCATACTGGTTTAAAGCAAGCACATGGCTGGCAGGTGCTTTCCGTGCTTTATCACACAGATGTGCCACACAAATGAATGCTCCTGACCTCAGCCAGAGAGGGATCAGGCAGAGGCTGCCAACCAGAAGATGCTATGCCAAATGAAGAGCTGGTTTCTGCATTAGGACAAGTGGAGTTCAGGTGAGACTCTCAAACTTATTTGGATTTGTGTGAATAAGACAAACAAATGCAGGCCTTTTTAATCCATCAATTCAGCCAGCCCACCCCTTCATAAAGCAAGTCCTTTGCCTAGAGTAGGATCCCACCTCATACTCCTTGGACAGGAGGTAGTTGGAGTCTGCTTGAAGTTTGGTGAAGTGTGCTTCAAAATGACTGACTTTGATCGGACTAAAATATTCAACAGGAGGAAGAAAATCACAGGATGAATCACAGTCATAATTTATCCAGTTGGTTATCAAGAGGGTTTTTTAGGTATTAATTTTTTTCTTTTTTACCTGGAAGTTTTCCGGTTCCTAGAAATGATTTCAAAAAGAAAAAGAAACACTTCATCAGAGAGTGACCAGATGCGCCTGTTCATCCATGATGCCATGTTAAAATAGTGCTCTTAGAAACAAAACTTTTGATTTTACCCTTTTTGCCCCAAGTTCAGATGGACTGACAGTGGCCTGTCCCTGCGAATGCTCAGCCTTGCTATAGGTCTTTCGTGGCCATTGCTGGAATAAAAAGGAAGATATTCTGTTTTATCATTGTATTCTCATACTGATAAGAGCTACCAATAACATAATTTACATCATTAAGTTGGAAAAAAATGAATTTGAGAAAGTCCGTTTTGATTTGTGGCTCTGATCATGTGACAGTGCTCCTAGCTGTGGCACAGAGTTTTCTTGTATTTTAGTTTGGTAATAGTGATGTGGAGCGTACGCATGTGCACAGGCAGTAAGACTTTTTTCTTGCTCTGAAACACTCACAAGCCCAGCCTATCACTAAGGAGGGAGTCCTATGTTAAGACGAGCCCTAAGCTGGTTGATTCTCTACATGCAGAGAGGAACAGGTAGGTAGATTTTCAGACTCTGCAGACCAAGCCTCTAGGAGATGCCCAGGTTCATAGCAGGAGTTAGTGGCAGCACCACAGTGGGCTTTGGGAAAGCCGCAGAAGCGGTACTGACTCCATAAAGTTAGTTAGTGTTGCCTTTCATCCTTTCACTGCCATCTCCTCTTTCAACACACCTCCCTCAGAGAACACTTTCTCTTTACATATGATAAGGGAAAACCATACCGGTATTTGCAGTCCCGCTGCCTATATAAATCACAACAAGAAACCACACTCTATCTGAAGTTTATCTACACTAAAAAAATGCAATGAGACGTGCAAGGTGAAAACCACATCAATCTGCATTCTATTCATGCTCTATATGTCACTATGTACTGAGACAGTTAGGAGTGCACAAGTCTATACACGCAAAAGCAGACTTTATTTACTATTGCTAATGATTTATGCCTCCTTTTTTTGGATGGCAGATAGAGGAATACACTGAATTTGTTTATAGAGCCTAAGAATCGCATTGCTAAAGGGTAAATCCATTCTGGCTAAAAGCTGCAACTAGTCAGAAACCAGTTTTTTTTTCAATGTGAAATTCTGGCATCTGAAAAGCAAATTCGAAACAAAATAGACCTAATCTTGTATCAGTAAAAGAACTGAATTTCAGAATTTCAGAGTTTCCCATGTAACGGAAATGTTGACTTTTTTTAATTTCAGAAACCACGAGGAGTTTCATATCAATAATGTCATATCTCTTTCAGTCATGCAAAATGGATTAAGTGGATGAAGTTTTTTTCAAAGTTGAGACAGAGTATTTCACTTTTTAAAAACATTTAAAATTCACTATTTAAGATTCATCTATAATGTGAAATACACAACAATCAACAAAAAAATGAGAAGTGAAGTTTGAACTAATCTTTTGGACACTGAGGTAATGTCACACCTTAAGATTTTTTAACTGAAATGATAAAGTCTAAATGAACAGTTTCAAGAGCTTCCCATCTACAATGCAGATGAAATTAATTTGAAACATTTAATTTTTGACAAAAGACAGTTTGAATGATAAACCAGTTATTCAGAAATATTCAGATTCATACTGAAAACTAAAAGTTACAAGCATCCTCTATGAGATAATTCTGACTAACATCAGTAGGTATTTGAATCATGAATACATAAATCTCTTAATATGCAAGTTATTAGTTTTATACTTAGTGTGTACAGATGCTGGGGGACATAGATTTTATCTGTTAAATAGTTCAGTGCATTCCTCCAATTGTACAGTTCGGCTTTAAATATTGTATTGCTTAAATGAATAATTTGACCTGGCTTCAATAAGAGACTGGTAAAGGGACTCAACTTACCTAACTTTTTGTCTGCAGACAAATAAAGCAGTAACAGCCACTAACATCACAATCAGAAACAAGCCAGCACTCACACCTTCAATAACTCCAAATAGAGGCTCTAGAAACAAAACAGTGTATTTATATATCTTGAGGAAAAGATAGGAAGAATCAAAGAATCAGTGACTTTCAGGGGATATGTTATTATCAGCTAAAGAAAAAGGCTAAAGACAAGGAAACGTAAGGCATTTAAACACTTCACTAAAACCTGGCCTTGATTTTCTGTCCTTATTTTTTCCAAACATTATGCAAAATCTTTCACTCCCAACCACAGTAAAAGAAAGCACAGCCCCGTTATATGGGAGTTTAGTTCTCTTGCACTTTGGAGTTTTCTTGGTGAGAGCTTCATGCTCATGGTTCTCTTGCACTTTGAAGTTTTCTTGGCAATAGCTTCACTGACCGTTCACCCTTTCCTCTACTGTCAGCAGCTCCATCAAGCAGTCCTCTGAATTTTCAAACTAAGGCTGGAGTCTCATTTCAGAGCAGCCTTCACAACAATCTGGTTTTGTTCCACTCCTTGCAAATAGTTCTAGATACCAGAGTGTTCTGAGGCACAATATATGATCACATGCTACGGTCATTGAAAAACAAGCCTGAAACTAACCTGCCTCTGTAGTGATCGGTAAAGAAGAAGGTG